GGGGGGAGGGGGTGCGTTTAAAGAGCGCAAAAAAAAAAACGAAATCGATTTACATTTAGGCTGGTAGTCGAGCGTAAAAATTGGTTTTGTGTTAGTGTCAGTTCCCAAGTGGCAGTATAATCGGCTTTTAGAGCTTATGCAATCAGCATAATATTGGGGAAATAAGTGAAATGTACGATATGCAGCCGGCAGGTAGGTAGGTGGGCCACGCTGTTGGTGCTCACGTAGTAAATAGGGCTAAAAGGAAGGTTGTGGCAAAATATTACCCTATAATTTAACAAATAAAAATCTCCAATGTGACAATTTTTTTGTTTGTTTTTTTCTAAGTCGCATTTATGTACATATACACAAACAGGCTATACCGGTATAGTCGGTAAGATAAGGATTGAGGATTGGTATAATTTTATCGGTATTGTGCGAGTCCAAATGTGACGTCGTTCTACAACGAGTGGAATTTGAGATCAATAAGATTCTATTGGGATTATCAAAGATAACCATCCAAAGTTACCCTTGGCCCCATGATGCCAGTCACAGGTGTAAGACCAGAACAGAGCCTCTCGGTGCCACAATGCAACCCCGAGACTGAACTTGAACATAGGACAACATCGTAGCAAGCGTGTTTACTTATAATGTTGTTACTGCGTGACGGCATATCGTCCATTTCACTTCAGTCAGTTGAGTCGTCTGCACCTTTCATCAAAATCGTCGTTTAACGTTAAGGAAACACCCAGTAGGCCGTCGTTTTATCTTTTTAATTCTCTCTTAAACACTCGACTTTGATCACAATGATTGACTGATGGCTGGCATTTAATGTAGGAACACAAAAAAAGGAAATAGCTTCCTACTTGCGACTAAAACCAGAAAAGACCTTACTGGATAATTGACAGTCATTTAAAACGAATATACCTTCTCTTGTTTTGAAATGACACATTTTACTGGCGCAATCCCGACTGTAAGATAACTTATCAGTATACTCTTCCCTTTTGAACAGTTGTTAATTAAATTACAAAGCAATATGCTATTTTAAAGAGAATGACGGATATAATTTGACTAAGACACTTCCATAAATTGCCAACACAGCAATAACAATATATTGCAGTTTGCCTCTCTCCTTCCTCCAGCCTGTAACTAGAAGTTGTCATTTTTCATTAAATGCGTTACCTGCCGTTTGTGGTTCTGTCGATTTTCATACAAAGTGATTGTATACAAACGACATAATCGGACGCTATACCTAAAAACTTAAACGACGATTCAGTTTCGATACTACTTCCTAGGCTTGAAACAATCGATTCTAAATGTCAATCAGCATTAAGCAGGAACAGACTTACAAATCTTGGGTAATTTCTTTCAAAGGCGAATTCACCGCCGACTTCTTCCTGTTCATCAGAAAGCCATTACACAAGGATTGCCAATGACGTGAATCAATCTCAAAAGGGTTTGCTTTAGCTAGTTAGTATTTCGCTCCAAATCGCGGGAAATTGCCAGGCCTACGCATCATTTGGGGCTGCGTTACACCAGCGTCTCAATTGAATGAGGACAATGGGTGCCAGTTGGCATCCTTGATACCATTTTGAAGATACAGTGATCACGGAGACACATTGCAAGCATGATTATACGAAACAAATATACAATAAAATCGTTAGTTATCGGTGCTACCCAGCAGCTGTCGGTGTAAGTTGTATAAAATATCCATCAAAGCGACCAAACTTAACTTTCTCAAACTAATTCATAGGACTTTCTTCGAAGTTAGCGGTCCCTAGATTGAAAATTTTGTATGAAGAGCTTAGCGACGCTGACAAGATGTTACCCCTCCATCCCTCAGTAATAACACCTCAGTGACCACTAGTTGTGTGATCTTGTCAATTAGTAGATGCATAATGATCATCAACACCCAGAATTAGAAATCGTTATTCAGAATAAAATTTTATTCCAAGATTATCAGCACCATTACTCCGTTTAAGTATAAGGAAAATACAAAGTTACGGCAATGACCGTAGCGGTGTGTTAGTGAAGCAATGCACTGCTGTAGTAATTTTGTTTTTCAACTTATAAAATGAAAATACAAAAACATATAATCAAATACAAAGTGTTTTCCCCACTCCATTCATAATTCCAAAGCAGAAATACGTCCTTTGACTTTAAATTACATGACAATTGTCACGTTAAGAATGGACCACCATTTAAATAATAGCCCAAGATATATTTAATGACATACATGTCTGAGTGGGTCAATGCATGTTAAAACCATGACTTTCCTAAAACTGACTTAATCTAAACCAAGTTTCAACCACATACTGAGTTTTAACCAGGTGAGGTCTAGTATAGGTTAAGCCCATGCTCTTGATGTAACATCTGTCTTTAATGCTTTTTCTCCATCTCAGGTATTCTGTGACTTCCATGCATCAACCTTGCAGAGTGCTCTCTAGTTCCCCAGATTCTTTTAGTTCCTATTAAAAGACATAGATTAAATCAAAATAAATACTGTAACAGTCACATTACGTCTTTAGGCCAATTATGAAAAAGTGCTTTGTGTGTAATTAAAAGAACAGCTTGTGGAATTTTTATAGTCTTATATCTTCCTATTTTCTTCTCCAGGTCTGTGCTTGATCCTAAGTAAATGCAAGTAACTGTTCATAGGCGTTATGCAACAAATTGGTCCCTTTTAACACACAAAATTCAAACTGTGCAACATTTCTGTTAAAAATAGAAATATACAAAAACAGAATCATACTCATTGTAGCATATGCTACCAAGCGAGTAAGAATAATCCACAATTATAATTATACTACTATATAATATATATTGCTCTGCAGCATAATGAATTTTCATTTCATCTACAACTTAACAATGTACATTGAACTTTATTTATAATTCACCATTAAAAGCTACCAAATAAAAAAACTCAACATTAACCATTGTTTTGTTTTTATTCCAAACAAGTCTACAATATAATGAATGAGGTCTTTTTCTATATCACTAACATCTGATGACTATGAAGAGGTATGGAACGGCTACTAAATATCTTTTAGCTGAAAAGGTTTTACCTTTACAATATCCAAACCCCCAATAAGTTCTCCATTGACATAAAGTTGTGGGTAAGTTGGCCATTCTGAGTACTTCTTCAGTCCTTGTCTTACTGCTTCATCCTCCAAGATGTCAAATGTACTGTATTTTACCCTGTACATAAAACAAAAGATTAACATATCTCATTCAATTTTAAAATATTCTCCAAATTCTGAAAATAATTAAAAATTCATAAATAAGCCAGTTAATATTCACTGATCCAAGTTTAAACAAAGTTAATTACTTATGGTAAAATGAAAAAAATCTTATAAAGACCAAGTCAATTCATGTCCACGCTATTTATGCATTATAAGTGCAGTTGATCCTGAACAGATACAACTGTGTATAATAAATGAAGAAAATGCACTGCTTTTTCTTAAACAGCAGATTTACAAACTACTGGCTCATAGAGGAGGCCCCTCTGTAAGTTTGTATAATACCTGGCTCATTCCCAAAGTTCATTGACATAAACAACTCTCATTTATTTACACATAAAACTTTTACCAGGCATGTCAAGTATTAGAGGAACACAGGTTTCTTCCACAATCAAAGACACTAATTGGAGGTTTTTTTAAGAGATTAAAACATATTACTCTTTTTTATCTAAATATCTCTCAGCTAAAAAGGGACACAGTATGAACATGAAGTTCTAGCTTAAACTATCTGAAGTGTCTTTCAAACTCCAAAGTAAATATTTACATTGCTAAGGTCAAAATTTTTTTTTTGCTTTATTTCTCTGGTATTTGTCCGAATTTTATAAAATTTAATCTAAGAGCAATCAGTTTCATTTCAGACATACTTTGAAGCTGGAGAATGTAACTTTCAGTCTACCAATGTATCAAACAAAGTACTTTTTTAATATTTCCTTTTTGGACAATAAGCAAAGTTAACAGGAATTCAGTGGAAAAATTACCACAGGCATACATCATAATATTAACGTTAACTTATGATGGAACTTTTAAAAATGCACAGATGGAACTTTTAAAAATGCACACATTAAATGTAAGATATTGGTTTGGACACACTCTGGCTTAGATTCTTTGAGAATATAAATCCCAGTGACTTAAAATTGTAATTTCAGATGATTGAAATGTTTCATCTGACACAATAAAGCAAATCTTTCAATTAATCTGATGACCATGATTCCAGATCAGTCACTGACTGCAGCATTTTATGCACAAGTTAAGCTGAAGTTAAATGTAGCTTTCAATAAAAGTTCCTTACACTTGTAAACTAAAATTATTTGTAAAATAAGACCAATTTTTATAAGTTTTTTAAAGAGACGCCAATATGAGACTGCAGACTTCAATCCAATACTTACCCTGCATCCTGCAGTACAGCAATCATCTGCTTGCTGAAGCCACATCTTGGCTGCTCCCTGTTCCCTTTCATGAACAGCATTATTTTGTCCTTATTTATTAAACTTTTTAACCTGGAAGGAGCATGAGGTAGGCATTACAGAAAAAGCAAGACCTTGTGTTTTTTTTTCATAGTGAAAGGAACCAGTCCATTATTTTATCTAATGGTTTGTTTCCTTTATTTAACACATAGTAGGTGCTATTTAAGTATTTTTAGCAAATCTGGAAATCAAATCACTAATTTTATTTCTCTTACAGTTTTCTTAGAGCACAGTTAGCTGAGCCATATCATACAACAACTGAAAAATAAAGCATGTCCACCGACTCTCAGACAGCAATAACTTGATTGTCAGCATTAAGTAACAATTTTTTCTTAGGTCAGCTGCAGTGGCACAAATAAAATCAACATAACTGTTGGCATAATTTGTAAACGTTTAAAACAATTGTAACCAATCTAACCTGTCTTCTAATTTCTCCGCCTTAGGAAGCTGACTCTCTAATTCCCCCGTCTCAACCAATTCTTTGACGATATCAAGGCCTCCTAACAGTTCTCCATTGGCATATAGCTGAGGATATGTTGGCCAGTCAGAAAAAGTTTTCAGTTCTAAATATATGGAAATATTTCAATATTAAATTTGAGAACAAATGAGTTAGACATTTATATCAATTCATCTTTGTTAGATCATTTACTATTGGTAGCTATTCCATTCCACTGGAGCTGCTGACCTAAAAGAGTGTTCTTACACACACTGATACCTTTTGGCTAGGTGCTGGCTGATAAAAAAAACCATAACACCAAACGGTGAAAATTTCAACAACCCATACTTTGGTATGGCAGTTTATGTAAGTATGCAACATAAAATTTCATGCACCTTGGTTTATTATCTTTACCTATTTGATTATAAACCCAAACATGCATGAATACTGTATAATCTGTATGAGACTAGAATACACATATACATGTACCTTGCCTTACTGTTTGATCAGACAAAATGTCAAAGGTACTGTACTGCACTCCATGTTGATTTAAAATGTCCACTATCTGTCTGCTGAAGCCTATAATATAAACAGCAACCATAAGACAGCATGTGCATTAAAAATAACCCTGTAAAAAGTGTCTGTTGAAAAATTGATTGGTAAATTGAAATTCTAGCAATAGCTTAGTCTGAGCAAAACTTGAAATTTATCCAGCCAATCACCTGATATTCCACACATAAGACAAAAGTTAACTTGAAGTAACTGACAATCAATAGTTATCATGAGTCATAAGACAAAATTATAATATACAGTTCAAGTAGCAGATCATAAGCAACAGAACCCACCACATCTTGGCTCTTGTGGATTGCCCTTCATAAACAACATCACTGGAGCCGCATTGATCAACTTCCGTAGCCGAACTGTTATGTCCTACAATGAGAGTTCACTAATCATCAATAAAATGTCTATCAATGTTATCATATGCAAGCCCTTCATCTCTTCATAAAAAAGAATGTGAGCAACCATATTTATAACACCAAAGCCTTTAAAAGAGTGAAACAAAAACGTTAAAGTCATGCTAATGAGCAACCATCAAACAAGAATACTACATTCATAATAATTCAGAGTTACCAAAATTTTGATTAAAACCACCTTCTCATGAAATAAAATTATGATCACCCTGTCCTTCTACCACATAAGCCCAGATACAAAACTGACTACATATGTGGCAGCTGTTACCTCTTCTGGAGCAGGTAATGCTGTAGCTGCGACTGAAGCATGGTGCTCTACTTTTTTGGTCAATTCTGGAGCATTGGCACCATTGAGTCGGTCTACTTCTTTCTTGCCCTACACAATAAGAGTTTACATAATAACCACCCACTAATTTAAAAGCATTTCTTATTGAGTATACATAAGATTTAATAAACACATGCATAATAAACTGAAATGTTCAGCAGTATATCTGACTATCACTAAGCTATTTTGTATGTTGCTATTTATGTAAACCTTAAAAATACCACTGTTTAAAGAACATATAAAAAAGTTTAATTAACTTTGAATCAAACAAATTGGCACATAGCGACTCTGGTAAGAAAAAGGACAAGTGGTGAAGAGATGAAATACTTAAAAAATGCTAAAACATAAACATACTCTTAAAAAAACAAATACTGGAACAGCTGATATTCCAAACTTCTCAGACACTTCTGGTGCTGATTCTGCCTCCAACTGGAATAATAATTTTCAATATAATTTCTAAAATTAATTTGAAAAAAAAAAATTAAATAAAAACTTTGTATAATGTAGATTGAAATGCAAGTTTCATTTATTAAGATAGATTTACAGGGTTTCTATTAGCTTTTCATACAGTCAAAAATTGAAACCATGAAGTCATTTCTAAGCCATAGACATTAGTGTAATTGCACTTACTTCAATTACATTTCATTTACAAGTTCTATTTACCTTTACAAATCTGACATTTATAAACCTGGTATCCTTTGTTAATTCATCCAGGACATCATTCATCTGTTTGCACTGTGGGGCCCAGTCAGCACTAAAGTGAACCACAACCAGACTGCTGAAATGACATAAACACATTGTTTACCGACTTCAACTACATGTACATATGCATTATTGAATAGATCTTACATTAGTACAGTGCAATGCAATTATCCTGTTTGAGTTTTTACAACCATAAACGTGTTTTATTTCACTGTAATGGAAACTATGTTTTCATTAATCATGACAAAATGCAATACAAAATGCAAATCAAAATGCAAATGAATGCTAAATGCACAACTTCATCCATGTTTATTATTTAGCTTTTGGGTAAGTACATAAGATGTCATTAAATTGCAAATTTTAGAAGATTAACTGGCAAGGTTATATTCAGGAATTGACAGACTTGCAACTAAATTTCTTCCGCAAGTATCAACCTTTCTTTACGTGAGGACGGCGATAATTTCTCTACCAGTATGTCCTTGCACTGTTACTCCACCACATCATTATTCCCCCTAACAACATTATTACATTACTTGGCATCCTTCCCCTCCCCTAATAAGAAATCTTATAACTTTCAAGTCCTGATATTAACAAATAACTTTTAATTCATGTTTTACGTATTGCATTTTAAGGAGTATTTGCATTTGTGAAGAGTAACACTGTATGGGGAGTAGTGGTGTGGGGGGAGTACTACATGTAGTAAATGGGGCCGTGGCAATAGTCCAAAGGTTCAGTAGTCTGAAGGTTCATTGGTCCAAATGTTAACTAAAAAACCTTCAGCCCAACGAACCCTTGATTGAAAACCAGTGAAACGGTTACAATTTCAGACCAATGAACCTTTATACTCAAGGAAAAAATATATGCGTTCACCTCTATTATTTGTAATTTTCTTTACATAACGAATTGCCCTTTTTTTATCAAAATATGGCCTGATTCTCAAAACACAATACTAAGAAGCTGCTACATAAATTTTCATATTGGTAAAAACTGTTGTACAGCGGAAGTTTATGCTTGCTCAGCAGTTATGTAGTACAAATATGCGTGACACTGACGGGGGGGGGCGCTGGGCAGGTCGCTCTTTTCATTGACGTCAATCTGGATTTTCTACCATAAAAAAACACTTACAGATAATCATAACAACCTGAAAGATAAAGCAAGCACGTAGCCAAACATTGAGGCATCAGACACTTACTTTCCAGTCGTATCAATGAATTTTTCGAAATCTTCTGAAGACGTGATGTCAACACTGGAGGCTGCCATATTGGGTGGAAAATAAAAGAAGGATTTGTCTAAAGTAAGGAACGAGCGGTAATTTTTTTTTAACAACTCGCGAAAAAAAAAGAATCCAAAAAGCATTTATATAATTGGTCCACGTGAATAAACTCTGAATACCAATACATGATGAGAACTTTTATTCTTTCAAAAGGAACCCAGATGGCTTTAAAAAAGAATCCAAAAAGCATTTATATAATTGGTCCACGTGAATAAACTCTGAATACCAATACATGATGAGAACTTTTCTTCTTTCAAAAGGAACCCAGATGGCTTTAAAAATGTATGTGCATTGCAAATGTAATTTTGCACTTGGTTTATGGATAAAATGAAGATAATTATTGTCTACATCACTCATTCCTTGTCTACATCAGAAACAGCAACATACACTTAAAATGTGCAAGGGTATGGTTGTGTTTGGGGGTAGTAGGTACTGCACATAGGTTCAGCCTTCTGGTACATTTGATTATTGTGATGTATACAGACTCAGAGAATACCTGTAGCATTTGCTAACTGCTGTCATTAGGTTTGTTGCATCCACAGCTGGATTGCAAAAAATCAAAATTTCTTTGATTACATATCCAATAAATCTATTTATTTTTCCCAATTCAGACCTTAAAACAATAAAACCCCTCAAGCTAAATTAAAAATGGTACAAAGCATTACATTGTAGATCCAAGTGCTGGGAAAGATCAAGCAATGATTCTTAAGTAGAAAAAACTTTTTCAGGAAAAATCCTAGGGAAGTACGCTGTTTTCAATCCCTTGCATGTGTGTTCTAATTGCATATGTGGAATATTAATTTGATTTTTTTGACATTTTTAAACATTACATCAACATGAAAAATAAATTAAAGCATTTATTCTCCCAAGGTGGAATATACACTGTATAAATATAAAATCATTTGTAGTGTAAGTTCTTCAATTTTTTTGATGTAAATTAAATTGTATGTGTGGTCACTTTTTAGGTTTCTCTTCACATACTGCTGTATTATCTTTAAACATTCAACACCAGGAAGTTTAACAATAAAACCATGAAGAAAATTATTGGACTTTGTCCATGATGAGACTTAAATGTATTTTACTGCATTATCTTCTCTCAAATTGCCCCCCAAAATCTACATAATACCTTTATATAATAATATAAAAAACTCTCATTTTACTTTTCAAATAATCACAAACTGAATTACAGGTGAGACCTCCACTAAACTGTTTGACTGTCCAATATTTTAATTCTATCAAACATGGCCTTTAATCTTTTCCAAAAATAGCTTGATTTGTTTTCTTTATATGTCACATATAGAACTGAAAGATGATGCTGCATCATTTTTCTTAATATTAATATAAATTGGGATTACGCAGCTCTTTCATTCTTGATCATCTAGAGATGTCAGAACTTGTATGCACTTTGTGTCCATACTACACTGTAGTAAAATCTTGTACGGTCTTGGGACAGAAAAAGAAAAATTAATCAATCAAAAATTACAAATTGTTGTCAATGGTTTTTCTTTTTTAAATAATCAAAAACTGAATTATGGGTTAGACCTTCAGTCTACTTCCTCTTGGTCAACTGTTTGACTGTCCAAGATATTTATCAAACATATCCTTTAATCTTTTCCAAAAATAGCTTGATTTGCTTTCTTTATATGCCACACCACATATAGACCTGAGAGATGAAGGTGCATCATTTTTCTTAATATTAATATAAATTGGGATTACACAGCCCTTTCTTTCTTGATCGTCTAGAGATGTCTGCAAACTTGTATGCACTTTGTGTTCATACCAGTTACAACGTGTACAGTCTTTGGACAGTAAAAGAAAAATTAACTGACTGTTGTCAATAGCTTCTTCCAAATTCTTAATTTCTGATTTACCACCATCTCCATCTCGGTTATCATAATAACCCTTCAACTTCCTCCCAGCAATGTCCACCTTTTCAAAATATTCCAACAAATCTTCTGCTACTGATCTGTCATCATGATGGTGACAAACAAAAAAGTCATATTTATATTTAGGTGCAGAAGTGTGTGCAGCAGCTGACATGCTTCCCACTACCCTGGAGCCTGCATATTCCTGGTAACTTCACTACCACCCTGTAACATGTAGTAAAAAAATCAAATTAATATTCCACATATGCAATTAGTACATACACATGCAAGAAATTGAAAACAGTGTGAACACTTCAATTGACTGATGATAAGCATGGTTACATAGGTGATGACAGATTGACCACAAAATAGTGACATCAAGTGTCCTGAGCAATTTTAAGTTTTGTCAAAATATCCCCAGGAAGTGGATCCTTGATTAAAGCACCTGTTATGGAATCCCTGCAACCCCAAAGCAATACTTGTCAGATGAGATCGCAGACGGAGTGAATACCTGGAGGAAATCTATTGCTACTTCTAACTCTTGTTTTTTCCCGAATTGTGCAGGCCGTGGACAGTAAAACAGTGAAACTATAATATAAGATAACAACCGTTGATATGGGCTAGTGATAATGTCTAATGATTGGTTTCTTGCTCCACGAGTCCACTAATATTTCATGTGCAGGTTGGACCGTTTGGACGTTGCCAACTAACGCCACACTCTTCAGACCTGTAATTTTAACATCACGTCATCTGAACATATAACAGTAAAATCCCCTGATGGTACACTTGCATATTGTTTCCGCCTATAACAGACTCGTTGCGAATCAGCCCTGGTGGCTTTGCTGTAGTTTGTACATATAGTTTCGCATATATTTTATATAATCAATCTGAATTGTATGCTACAAAATATATGAAAGCAAATCAAATTTATTTCATGCAGATATTATTGTAAATTTACTAATATTTGATAATTGTCGTATTCTCTTTCTTAGTATATATTTGTTGAAAAACGAATCACATACACTGTAGTCTACTGAAAAGGGGATTCCCCGTGCGAAGGAAAAATCCAAAATCCTGGCGTTATTTACGCGCAAGGAAATCAGTTTCTTGTTAAATGAGTGCCATAATCTTCTAGTTGACGAGGGGATCTACTAAAATCACGAAGGTATGTACTATAATTGACGCTTTAAGCTTGTCTGTTACAATGAAGTTAAAACATCAACACAGTGGCTTTGAGAACTGAATCATCGTCATATGATTGGGAAATTCCAGACTGACGTTCGATCAAATTTGCCAAAAGACTTCAAAATTACACAGGGTGCGGTAGGTATTATTATCATTTTTGTCAAGCTTGTCTCAATCTTAACATGTACCTTGATACTCAGTAGTTCAAAACACACGAAAATTCATCTGGTTTCCTTAGATTATTTGCACTAGAAAAAATCCCGAAAATCAGCGCTGTATATACATCAAAACAAAATAATACATATACATACTGTCCAAAGTGGTGATGTATTCACAACACTATCAGTGACAAAGTGTGTAACATACATGTGATGAGAAATTAGAAAAAAAAGTTCATGAGCCCAAACCAGAGTTATTTTGGTTTGCTGAACATCATTTCACAATTATCCATTACAAACATTACAATATCTTTTGTCTTACATGTAGCACATACTACTAGTGTAGTAATGCAGAAATCAAAAAACGTATATAAGATTGTTAAAGCATTATTTTTCTTGTTACTACAGTTGAAGTTGATCAGAAGAAAAATTTACATTACATATAAAAGTTGGAAAACCTTTTATCCATGGCTTAAGGTAGTAATTAACACGGGTAGCTATCTTCTAAACCGCCCAAGATATACCAACATGTTACATATCAATAGAAAGCTTATTTCAACAGCTCTTCATTTTATATTCTTATTTTATTATGTAATCGTTACGTAATGAGATATAATGCTTAATAGGTGTGCTCAACATGATCTTTACACCTTAAAAACTAGAAGTCCACTACAAATGGACATGTGTAGACAGCTTGACTCGTGAGCCCTCATTGGGATCAACAAGAATGCGCCTCAAATTAGCGATATGTGTTAAATTAGCAGAGATATCAAAATAAACCTGGTTTCTAGTGCAACGAGACCCCCTAGCCTAACTAAAGTACACGTAAGTTGAAAATGGAGCTGATGTTATGAAATCCCAGACACATAATTTCAGACAAACCTTAGATCTAATGAATGAATGCCAGCTTTTATCGGTTGAGAGTTCTAATTAATTTTGACACTGGTCTAAATCGTTCTCTTGAAGCCATAAAATGAAGCGGAGAAATCAGCCTTTTAGTGCTCCCCGGAGATTCCAACGTTATATAATCAGTGAGCTGCATTGGCAAGCTGAGAAATTTAGTTATTTATACTGGTTCAGCCCTCTACTCACTGCCTATGTAACTGTCACTATGTCTTTCATCCATTTTCAACATTATTATTGAACATTTTCAACCGGAGGCCCCCTCCATGCATTGACAGCAGCCACCATGTTAGTCTTGACGTCAGCCTTCTTCACCACGTGGCACCTAGGGGGAGTGCCTTTGCCCATATACCTCTCATCTATATGTCTGCTTTTTAAAGCTTTAATAGATCGTCAAAATTAAGTTCACTGATAAATTCAAAATGAAAAGTATTGTTTGGCAAATGAAAGCGGGACGTAACTCACAGAATGTGACAGGCTTAGCAGCAATCTAACACAGGAAATATACAGCTGCACAGTGGAGCTGCCAATCAAACACATATATGGACAAGTGTGACCTACTTTACAACTCAGACACGCTACCACAGGGGTAAATCAGCAATTAGGCTAAAATTACGGGTTTATTTGTAAACTTCCATTATTTTAAGATAGGCTGATATGTAGTTGATATTTCATCTATCTAATACTGACAAATTCAGAAAAACACCCAAATTTTGACAATTTACTGTTAATTACTAACTTAACAGATATCATTATACAAGAAAAAAAAAAAAAAAACGGCTGATGGAGGCCGCCTTCTGGGTCTTCTGAAAGACAGTCAGTTTCTGAAGTTAACATTGACAGGCATTTAATTTTTTTCTATTGAAAGACAGTCAAAAATTAATTTTGAAGATTTCGTTGACCATCTTCTTATTTTATCTTTGAAGGTCTACATGTACACTGAACAAAAATATAAACAAACGAAACTAAAATGGTCAGTTGAAATGGATAATATTGAAATATGCCCAGGTTGATGGTTTATTTGTGAGTTGATGGATTTGTATTGATCAAGTATATTGGTCTTGTTTCACTTGGCTGCTCCCCGTGACGGTGAGTATACTTAAAGGTTCAGTTTTTTCCACCCATAAGACTAATGGAGCATGACGGAGTGTAGGTCAATCTGCATGACCAATACACAGGCACTCCTTACAGTCTAGGCAATAAAAGGGTACACCAAAATGTGCATTTCTGTCACTTGTCAACATGCCACAGATGTCTGAAATCATGAGGGAGCCTGCCATCGGCTTGCTCAATGCTGGCTTGTGGGTAACAGAAGTTCCAGCATGCCTGAATGTGCATCATTCCACTGTCAGTCGTCTGAAAACATGCTTCAGAGACACTTTTAGCACTAGGAACTGCCTACATGCCCACCGACCATGTGTTACCACACCCGATATGTTGCCCATCCAACACCTGTGGGATGTTCTGGATCAGCGTTCCAGCTCCCGAGAATGCTCACCAACTGCGGGTAGCCTAATACTCTAGGAGGAATGGGATAATATCCCTCAGGCTACTATTGACAACTTAATGATGCCCATGCGCTGCCGGTATACTGCTCTGTGCAAAGCTAATGGTGGCCATACTTGTTATTAATGTCTGTGAACTCAGGATGTTGACCCCCATGGTGTAGTTGATGCCCTAACTCTTGGACTATGCATTTAAACTTCCCGTAATGCTCACAAAGTGATGTCTATTTGTTGAGGAAAATATGCTGTTAATGTTGGCTATATACTCTAGTTCCATACATGAAAATAAATCAACATTTCTTCCGTACGTTTATATTTTTGTTCAGTATATATATATCATGAGACTTATGGTCACATTTGACTACAAAGATTACTTTATTTTCAATAAATATGCATATTGATAAGTCAAAGCATGTATAGGTAGATAGATAGATACGTGTGAATGCGTGCAGGTGTGTGTGGGGGGAGGGGGCAGTGGAGGATGGGCCAACAAAGATAATTTGGAAGACTCAAAAATATCCCTGGATCCACACCTGAATAACATGGGTCAAAATAGGTGAATTGTTTCAAAGTGAACACAGATTATCATAAAAGTATACTCACTCTTTGACTCTCCTTTACTAATATGTTTTTTTAGGTCAAACATTTAAGTGTTTTTTTATATTATGACCTGTTTTTATTTTTCTCATTACAATATTTAAATGTTATTTTTTTAAATTTAAATCAGTAGACTTGTAGCAGTAATGGGTACATTGCACAAAGAGTGAGTGCATTTTTGGGAAACCCTGTATTATATTATATTTGATATGTTAGGTAAATGTTATAAGGACAGTTCTGGACAGTAGCCATCACTTGCTTCTGTGTTAATCATATTGGCTTTCTTTTAACTAAAAGTTTCAGTATTTTGGTATGCTGAACATGAGACTATTGGCACATGTACAATCATTGCAAAGTGAAATGAAATATTGAACCTCACAAGTGTTCAGCTAGTTAATCAGGGAAGTAAAGGTAATATGTATATTTCAAGCTGCTTTTACTTTCATAAATTGTATGTACATGTAGATGAAATTTTTCTACTCTGGGTTTTTACCAAACTCTTCACAATGCAAAAAATAAATAATAATAATACATAATAATAATATATTATTTAAGAAAATAAAAGCAAAACAGTTTTCCATTTCTCCCTCCATTCACTCCTGTTCTGAGCGCCAGGATAGTTTTTGAAAAACGGCACTAATTCCTGGGTGCCAGAATCGCTTTTGAAAATGACAAGAATGATAATTCTGGTATTTTGTGTCCCTAGCTAACAGTACCGATCATTATCTAGCACCTTGGACCATACACATAGTGATGGGTTGAAATTACATGTTCATCCCATGGGTAGCAGTTACTGACATTTACCTTTTATACAATATGGTAACTGACACAGTGGTCATTGGGAAAAGATAACGTAGGGCCTAGCAACAAACAGACAACTTCCTTTCAAAAATGACATAATTTCATAAAATTCGAAACATCTGGAATTTCTGAGCAACTTCCATTTCATAAATTTCGACACCAAAACAATAATATCCTTTTTTGAATTAGTTTCTTCTGTATGAAATTCATGGTACATTACCATAATAATACCGTAATCTAATGTAAAGAGAACTGGATTTGCTTTAGATTGTTTAAAAGAATACTTGAAGTAGATTGAATATATTTCATTTTCATTTTAGTGGTTTGTACATGTACTGTATATAGTCTAATATGATATGTTAAATAAAATGCTATGGTATTTGTCATCCTTAAGCATTCCTTTATGACCTCCATCAAGTACCTAGGTTATGGTTTTGGTTCTGTTAGTCTGTTAGCAACATTATGCATGAAGTACTAGTAGTCGGCCAGTTTTGTAGAAATGTTCAAGATAGATCAGAAATGGGTTAACTTTTTTGGTGATGATCCATTAAGAAATTAGGATTAGTTAATAACGCAATAAAACAGCTATTGTTTTTTCTTTTTCTTTTATGCTCCAAAGGTGCCTTAACTTTTATAGTCATTTTTTTGTAATTATAGGGAAGATGTCTAGTGTGAGGTGTACCCTTCCCATGCAGGCAGGCATTTGTGATAGTGGAGAGAAGGAGGAAGGTGAGGATAAAAGCAATGGTTTGTGGACAATACCTTTTTCAGTGATAAAAAATAGAAAATGCACAAGTGTTAAGATCTAAGAAATCTCTTTTCATTTGTTATTACATGTGTGAGTGTGTTTCATTGTAAGTATGCTGCAAAAAATGTTTGAAGGAATCTGACTGTTTGATACTTTACACATTTTGGTTTTAACCAAATGCCATTGCCTGCCTCTGGTCCCGCCATTGCTGTCAACATTGCCATCCTTGTGCATTTTCCATGAAGTGCACTTTCTTTATAAACCCAAAAGGAAAATCAGTTTACTTTTTATTCTGCAACTTGCATGAATGATTCATAGGACTAATAGACAGTTCCAATTAAAAAACATTTTGATTGGATTGTTTTTCTTGAAGTAATGAAGTTTTTTTTACCAATTTTTTACTTTTTTACATATTAGCATTGTACTTGTTACATTTTGTTACTGTTCATAATAAAAGTAGTACAAGGTTAAAATTTGGTGGTGATTTTCTGACCACGCCCTACTTGAACTTGAACTGTACTGCAAAACTACTTACAACAAACATACAAAATCAATTCAGCTGATGCCAAAGCCAACTAAATTCATTTGGGAAAATAATTCTCATATTAAATTTGTTGAGGCCCTGGGTGACATGGAAACAAAACAAAAGGTTGATTACTTTATGTCACAAGCTCTCTCCCCTGAAGAGGCATTACCCTTAGTAAATGAAATATTCACAACTGCAGCTGAAAAGGCTCTTAAATCAAGAAAATACACCTTAGTCCACCCTCCAAAAAACAAGAAAAGGGCAATATGGTACAGCAACGACTTAAAATCTCTGAGGTTCCACTTAAAAAACTTACCAAACTTAGGAGCAAGAAACCCTTTGACAATTCAATCAATGCATCATACTACCAAACATTCAATCGTTATAAGAGAGGATGTAAGAAAGCAAAAAAATAATATAAAAAAGGCCTACTTCAAAAGTTGCAATCCATGGAAAATGCAAATCCCAAATGTTTCTGGAAAGCGGGTAAAGATTTAAATATGGAGTCTACACAAACTGAATTTATTGAACCAAGTGAATTTTATGAGTATTTTTAAAGTCTTTGTGAGGAAACTGAATCAAGTAAACATAACTTTGATAAAGATTTCAAGCTTAAAATAGAAAATAAACTAAGGCAAAGTGAAATAAATTCTCCAGACAGAACTGCACTTGACCATGACATTAGTGCTGATGAGATCATGAGCAATATCAAAAAATTGAAAAATGGCAAATCAACAGGGGAAGACAAGGTAACCAACAAAAGATAAAATCAGGGAAGGATTATCTTATAGATGTAATTGTAAAATTGTTCAATATTATATTCAAAAGTGCTAAGTACCCATCAATATGGAACAAGGCATATATAATCCCTATCCACAAATCTGGTGACAAATCAAATGTTAACAACTACAGGGGAATATCTATAACAAGCTGCCTCGGATTGCTGTACAACTCGGTCCTGTTGAACAGAATTCAAGCATCACAACAAGGGGTACCCTACCTCATCAAACTGGGTTTAAACATGGTCATGGTACTTCAGATAACATCTTTATACTTAAGTCCATTATTACAAAATTTATGAAAGGAAAGAAAAAATTATACACGTTTCATTGACTTTTCAAAAGGATTCGATAGTGTTTGGAGGAATGGACTACTGTTCAAGCTAAGTACTCTAGGAATAAGAGGACTTATGTACAAAAACATTAAGAGCATGTATGAAAACTCCCAAGCATGTGTTAAGACAAGTAGTGGTATATCCCTGGCCTTTAATACAAGACTAGGTGTAAAACAAGGTGACACATTGAGCCCATTTCTTTTTAATATTTTTATTGATGACCTTCTTAGAACAATTGACGGCGAAAGTGCTGCAAGTCCAGATATAAATGGAATACCAATACAAGGTTTACTCTATGCTGATGACCTCATCCTTATGTCCAAGACCCCCAAGGGGCTAAGGCAAAGTTTGGAAATTGTAGAAAATTTTTGTAACAAGTGGAGACTGACTGTAAATGTCACCAAAACTAAAATAGTTATTTTCAACTCAAAATCAAAATCTCACAGTGAAAAATTTTTTTTGTATGGAAAACCAATCCAAGAGGTCAACAAATACATATATGTAGGTCTCCTTCTAAATCGATCAGGAAGCTTTACAGAAACCCAAAGTAATCTCCTCCAACGTGCTGCAAAGGCATTCTTCAGTCTGTCCAAGTCTCTTCCACTTCAGAGTAATGTTAACACATCCTTAAAAGAGAAATTATTTGATACCCTCATTTCCCCAATCCTTACATATTGCTCAGAGATATGGGGCTACTGTGTGTCAACGGATAACTGCCGCACAGAAAAGTTACACTTAAAATTTTGCAAACAAATCCTTGGCCTCCATCAAAACGTATCAAACTATGGTGTATACACTGAACTTGGCCGCCTTCCCCTGTATACCAAAATACAGTTTGCATCTGTCAAACTATGGTGTAAAATTATTCAAATGTCTGATGATACACTAATGAAACAAGCATACATACAAGAGATAAATAGTTACAAGTTACTGACACCTTATGTTCCTCCCGCAATCCACACACTCAGACCAGCTTGTATGTCATGGTCTGAGGGGATCCAAAAAATCCTTTTCACATTTGGCCTTGGGGATGTGTGGCTTAGCAAGTCACCTCCAAAAAACTTCACCACAATTTTCAAACAAAAACAAACTGACCACTTTACCCAAATATGCAATAGCAAACTTCAAGCCAACAGTAAATTGTCTCTCTTCCGTTTACTTAACCAAAAGTGTGAAAGGGCAACTTATGTTGATAAAATAACAAATTACAACACCTTGTCAACCCTTGCTAAACTACGTCTTAGTGACCATAAACTCCACATCGAAACTGGGTGGCACACCAGGCCGAAAACTGAAAGGTGCAACAGAATCTGTGGCCTGTGCACCCAAGGGGTAATTGAAGATGAATACCATTTTATATTCCAATGCCCAATGTACAAAGCAGACCGAGTCACCTTTTTTAGTAAAACCTCAATCGTAAAAGCTGATACAAGATCACCAGACAGTCAATTATGCCATGTATTTAACAGTGCCAACAAAGATACTCTAGTGTCCCTCTCCAACTTTATAATCAAATCGTTGAAGAAAAGAAGTGAAGTGGTTGCTCTGCTTGGTAACTCTTAGCATATCCCTTAAAATGTCAGTGTATGGTCCCACTGTTGTGAGAAGTGACTCGGCAGTGGGACTGAACATGGCACAATATTTATATCTGTGTAATTTATTTACTTATCTGTCTTATGTAAATGTCATTAATCGAAATTATCTATGTCATCAAACTGGCTTTAAACAGCCATGTAAACAGCTATGTAACTGTGGTTTTAAGTTTAAACATATCCTTTTGTGTAACATGCTTATAGTATGTTTATGGTAAATTTATAATCACACCAAAGTTTATCTCATTGCTTAGATAGAATATTTTATGAGTAATTTTACTAGTATGTATGTTCATTATATGAAGATTATTTTTTCATTCACAAATGGCTAGCCAACATAATACCAACTAGAGAAATGGTAATGCACTAATTGTATTGTATCGTCATTAGTATATCATATTGTACAAGGTCATGGCAATCTATTTACCAGTACAGAAATAAATTGAATTGAATTGAATATGTTCCTGAGCTTTACAATGTCATCAACGTTGACAAAACATTTTGTTCACTGTGTTACTTATTAATCTCATCCTTTAATTATTCATAGGACTAAAATGCAGCTCATCAGCTGATTCCATTTTATTTGTAGAATTTATTTCACAAATTGGCATTTTCCCTATGTGACTTTCAATTTCAGTGGATATTTAGCCCTGTGCATTATTTAATATCATTATGTAATATCATTGTTTCTGTCAGTTTTATCAATATTATGTCTGTTTCGATATTTTGAGCCATTTTTTTTTCTTTTTCATTTTTTCTTAGTGATTTTTTATTATAAAACTCACATGAATAAAAAAACTTGGTTTACTGTAAAGGCTGGTTATCCAATTCCTTGGATTGGGTTGACTTTTGAAGTTTTCATATCTTTTTTTTATCTCATTCAGTTTTTTGCATAGATGAAAACATTGAATTTATCTTGATATTTAAATTCTTTAAAAATTGATATCATTTTTATTTTTCAGATAAACAAAAGGGTCATAAAGTGTGGACTTCTGATGATTCAGGTCTGATTATTTAAAGTCTTAGACATGTTGCTAATTTGAAATGTGTGCTTTAAGTTTTTAATAATTTGAGGTGCAATGTAGATCTACATTGTACATTTGTGTTAAATAAGCCTCATAGTGCTTTAAAAGTGAGAGGCTCATTGTTTATATACATATATTGTGTATATTTTAGGTCAAATGGATAGTGGGTTAGAGACAGATGTAGTATGCTCCATCTCCCCCAAGGATGTAGAACCAGATGCTGCACCCTTAAGCCCAACGTCTGCTTTTGCTCCAACCATTCCCAGCCAACTTCCTGCAAAATTCACTCAGTCTTTGTTATCAACCAAAGAGAGCCCCAGTGATGACAAAGAAGATGACACAAGTGGAATCCAACCTAGTGATGATGTCAACAGCTTAGATTCTGGTATACACTCATTAAGTGTTTCTGACATTGATGAGAAAGACTTGCCTCTGAAATTTCGTATTCCACAGTATGATGCCTTGCTGCTCTATGATGAACGAGATAAGACTGATGCTTTGGAGTTGAGGGACATATTGGAGACAGATGACAAGTTACTTCTGAAAGATAAAAGCCACATAAAAATTTGTACCACAGACGATGAGGTTTTCTGTGAAATCCAGTCTGACCTCCAGCAAATTGATACTGCAGTGGAATGTAGCACTTTCATACTGATGTACATGTCAGAACATTTTGTTGGTGACAAATGGTTAGATTTACAAAGAGATGAGATAATAATGACTTGTATTTCTGAAGAAGAGAAAAAATGGTGTGTCATTCCATTGTGGACAGTCCCTAAGAGAAAAGCACCTTTCAAGATTCCATTTGGTTTGCGTTCATTGAGGGGGATTGACATAGGATCAATAGACCAGTATTTCTACAGGAGTGTGAAAAATGTATTTGATGCTAAACTGTCTCAAAAGGAAAAACGCAGAAAGGCACTTGAAGATGAGAAGCAGATTGTAATTGAGAAGCTAAAGCAAAAAAAGCAACTGGCACAGAAACGTCTTGAATTTGAAAGGGAAGAAGAACAGAAGCAACTTGAAAGCGAGGAAAAGTTATTCTATGCAAAACAAGAAAAAGAAGCTCTAGAAGCTGATCATCACAGAAACTTTGAAATTTGGAATCAGCAACTTCAAATGTCAAAACAAATACAAAACCATTTACTACAGGAAGAAATGTTAAAGCAAGATAAAGAAAGAATACAAAAGTGGCACCAAATCAGTATGGAGAAAATTCAGCGTGGTGAAATAACAATGAAAAATCCTTCACTACAGCCTATTCCACCAGAAATGATGGTCTATCAAATGCAGGGGCAGCCATTTCTTCGGCAATACCCAGTGAATCAAGGTCATACTGGATCACACAACATGAATTTATATGGACATCCTCCTGTGCCACAGTACAGTTGTCACTATCCAGCACCACCTGGTCATCCTTACTTTGGGGTTCCAGAACCATTCCCGTATCATGGATCACATGGGCAGCCTTATATGGGACAGTCACAGCCAGTATTGAATCCTGGATTGCAAGGGTATGGAATGCCTTCTCAACAGCCAGGGTACTCGCAATACTCAGGCAGACCCCAGATGCTGGAGTCCCAATTAAGCACAGTGAGCATGTGTCCACCACCTCGGTCAAATCAGCAACAGTGTGAAAGGCAAGAAATACAAAATTCTTCACCAGCAGCCCAGTCATCAAATGTTGGAACCCCTGTGTCAAATACTAAAACCCCAGATAACCAGACAGGTGGAGGTGGAGTGCAGATGGGTCATGGTGATGATCACCCAGTGGTCACTGCATCACATCAAACCAGTGTGTCCCAGCACAATAACATGGCTGCTGCCACTTCACAGGGTGATATCATGGGTACAGAGAGACATGATGGTTCAGATGTGGTGGCTGACTGTTCTCTTACACCTGTCACTTCAACAGGTGTCCTCTCAACAACTGCGACTGCTGGCTCCTTGACATCAGTGGTGCCACCCCCCTTATCTATCACAAGAACCAACAGGGAGCCCACAGAGCAGGAAGATGACAGCATGGTAGAATCCAGTGAGACAGGGAATGGTGGAGATGAGAAGCTTGAAGATTCCACTAAATTGCTTATGGGACAAATATCCTCACCTCCCAAAGAATACTGCCCACTGGCAAGAGACAGAAGACAAGGAGAAAGTGCCCAGTTTGTCAAAAGCAAGAAGAAAATGGGGCTGGATGATGGAGAAAGAGAAATATGTGGTTTTGTGACAGGTGGCCCACAGACTGAAGTCATGGGTGGAGAGTCAGCAAATGCGGGCCATCGTGGAGCCTCTCCAGTAGCTAGAATGAAAAAAAGAGACCCTGGAGCTGATCATGAAGCCACTGGAAGTCACAGAAAAGGAGAAAATTCTTCTTCATATGAAGAATCTGATGGCAAATCAGGGCCACACTCCCACAGGAGTTCAAGAGTTGTGAAAGAGGTTCATCACCACTATTATGGTGCACGACCTGAGACCACTTCTAAAGGTTCTGAGAGGCCTCCAGTAGCCCCTGCCCCTACACCAGCAGCAATTCCCCCACAGCCCCCAACACAGATTATCAACATTTATAACTCTAGTGGGATCCAGATTGGGAATCATAACACTGCGGTGGTGGGACAAAGTCAAGATGTCGTCACTGATGGCCCAGAGTCACCACAGGATGGCCAGTCATCACCAATACGACCACCAGAGGGCCCAGCTTCACCAGACAGTGTCAATGAATGGGACACCACTTTAGACAGAACTTCTGTACAGAAACCTAGCAGTAGCACGTAAGTTTTGTAACAGAACTGCATTATATTTTTTGCAATTTATCTCTAACAAATGTAAATTTGCTTGTTTTTTCATGATAGCATGCTTTATGGTATATAGATACATGTATGTTATAAATTGACTGCACTTCATTTAATAATCCAAGTGTTTGATAAAACATGTTTTCACTTTTTCAAAAAGGTGAATTGTTAATGTAGAAGATCAATATAAGTGTGGTAATTTCCTTAACTTCTACTGCAATATTTCAGTCCCTGCAATAGTACAGTCCCTGGTCAAGTACGCACAACCAGCAGAGGTCCTAATTTACCACCTTTACTTCCAGGTAATTAGCTTCTTCCTAGTTGGCTTAACTGAGCTGTCCACACTGACAGTCTTCTCTCAGCTAAATCATCTGAAAATATGAAAATTCCTTTGTACAAAATTATGACCTATGTCTGGAAAGACCCAGGAGGCTGTTTTTATCTTTCTTTGTAATTGACTTTGCATATATTATGATGTGAATAGATTCATTGAACATAAGCTCACTAATCTTAAGTACAATTGAAATATAGCTCTGTGATATAAACTTTATTACTGAAATGCAACATTTTATTATTCATACACAGTTAATGAATTTTTTGTGAAATCTATACAATTTATCAGATTAAAAATTGCCATCTAACTGCTTTGTACAGTGAAATCATCAGGAGAAATGAAGTGTTAAAAGCACAGTAAGAATGAACCTTGTAATGACCATGTTCCTTTTTCTGTTGCAGCTAATGGCCTATTAACAGATAGAAACAACCAAGCACAGACACGTGATCAAGACCGTATATTCCCTGGTCAGGATAATGTCATAGCATACCATGACCAAGAAACTGGCAAGGCAAAAACGCCACACAGCAGTTTACTTTTTCAAGACAATGAAGAATCTACATCAACCCATGTCAGCCTCTCAGATTCTGTCGTCCCCAGCATACTACCAGTGGCGACTAAGACACCAGTAGCAACTGCAAAGCCAACCGTTAGAATAAAACCTGTTGCTGCAGTCAGTCCTATTAGACCACAGGNTAAAAATAGTAGATATCACTCTTGAAAACTTCATGAAACAAATCTTCTCATTTGTGGTAAGAAAGTTCTTATATTGGATATAAATATGCCATTTTAATGGCATATTAGGATACAAAAAAAAAACAAACAAACATGATTTTGGGTAAATATGACAAGTTATCCCTGCTTGCAGCTTGAAACTTATCTTATCATTATTACAAAAATTTGATAGAAATGAAACAAAATAAAAGGTATACCAAGGAGAATCCAGAGTAGGTTTGCTTTGGATGTAGCGGCCGGTTGTTATGCCAACTAGATTGCCAGAGGGATGAACAGTTGCAGCCATCATGCAGCATGTTTCAGATTCATGCATTTCCCAAGATCCTCCAATTTTCACCATGTAGGTCAGTTTCTGGTCAGCATTGATGGCGACAATTTCAGGGAAAATGGCTAGACAAAAAATTGGTAATAATGTAAGCATCTTTTTCATTTTCTGCAAAGTTCAAAATCTAAGATGACACAGAGAAAGTGGCAAAGTACATGCACCCATATACACAAATTGCAGGCAATGTAAACTTAAAAAAATATTCTTTAGAAATATTTTACCAAGAACTGCCCACTTTACCTTCAGTGTCTTCAAATTTGTACAGTGTGTTATCTGTTGGATTTCCAAAGGCATTAGAACTCCCTCCCGCTATGCCTGGCAGATCCTCATATGCTGTTGTAATAAGATAGTGAGTGCCCTGAAGAAAAAAGTACACATATTTACATGTATAACTATATGACACACATGACAATTTCTGAATAGGTGTCACAAGGAACATATATTTTAAATATTGATATCTTAAACAACATAAAAATTGTTTTGCAGTTGAGGAAATCACACAGTTGGTATTTTAAAGCATTTTGAATCATTACAAATTATGCCCAAAATGTTTATTATAAAGCACTGGTTATACAGGAGATTAAGGAGTTTGCGAAGATTTATTGCAGTAATCTGGAATAGAGGAAAAGTACATGTAGACCAACTAGGTAACCACAAGGTAACAGCAAATCTATAAACTTCAACAATGTTGAAATGAAGTATTTAAAAGCTCATCCAAGATAACAATTTGTTCAGTGTCTGGTGATTTTAGCTCAATCCTTTCTAAAGTTATTAAATTTAAAAAATGTTAGGATGGCCTGGACAGAAGACATAGGATGCAAGACAGATGTATAAATAAACAGGAAGTCTTCACTGAAGTGCCAACTCTATGCATTTACACACTTTCTACATTCTATTTAGGACAGACTTCCATTTTTTACGTTTTATTCCGCTGTTAATGAGAGAATAAATCCATGCATTCTGTGTTCTATTTTGTTGGCAACTTTGCTCCCACTTTAAAAATCGCAAAGTTATAAACATTGAAAAACATCTTTTTTTTTCTATTTTTGATCTACAAAGTAAAGAATTTGTTAATCATTATTATTGGAAAAACACACAATAGCCAAATTGATCCATCTGAAAGCTGAAATCAATAATTGGGTTGGCTTGGATCAACATTGTATTTAACACAGAGCAGCTGTTGGAAATGACTGTTTATGCATGATAATTTAACATTAAAGTTTACTGTACTTGGGAAGCTACAACCATATTCAGAGATTTCTATGATTTTGTCAAACTAAATGAATGGTCTGCAAGTGAAGGCACTATGGTTCAAGATCAGACCATTTAGCCATCAATATCGTGTATGGAATGAGGAATTGACCTGCCTCTGTGACGTTGGTGCACTGTATTTATTCCTTTTTTCATCAAAAGATTAATCAATAAAATGAACTACAGCAAACAGTGTGATAATAATGCTTTACCAACATAATCAATAGATTTTGTATGGAAGCAATAATTGTTTATACCACACTCACTTTACAAAGGACCTGATTAAAAAACTACTGGAATAAGCTTGGCTCCAAACAATTCATCCTGTCATGCTTCTATGCTCCCAGAGACACAGTTAATATTTCAAATGCTTTACTCAATTTACTTCTATGAACATTGCATTATGGGCCTCATGATATTGATAACTTAAGAGTCTTTTTGAAAATACCAAATTTTCCAATGTATTCAGTAAGAGCCAATAAAATTGGTGCTGGCAGACAATATGCAATATATCTCATATGTGACTGTGCTTGTAGAAAATACAGTCTACATCATTATATTAGTTTAATCAGATTAATAAATGAGCATTCTCCCAGACTTAATTTTTTATAAGTATTTAATTTTATAATAGTTTTATCTCTTTTCTGTTTTCCTTCTTTTTTTTAACAATTGTATGCTCTCCTAACATGTGTGCCAAACACCACACACCAAATGTTGAAAGTAATGGGATAAAAGACAATATGAAGAAACACAGATGTACCACTAGAGGTAGGTTAAAATATAACATTTGGTACCATACAGGTTACAATACATAGTAATATAACAATGTGTCAATGAGCACATTCAGAACAGCGGACTAACAGATCCACGGATCAAATATGGCGACCCATATAAAAGCTTGCTGCTTAATTCCTGATTAGACAATCCCTACAGGGATTACGCAACACGCATTCCAGTGGGTCAGCCATATTTGATCTGCAGATCTGTTACTCTGCTGTCTGTTCTCAATTTTTACCTCAGTGACAAACCCCTGGAGATCTGCTGTACTACTGGGGAGCAAGTTCTGCATGTGCACATATTTCTCCAGAACCTCTTCATATACAAACACTTTGGACAGACCTGCATCGTAAGTCCAACAGCAGGACTTGGTGGACCTAGACAGAATTTTAATTTAAAATGGGTTAAATTTTTTTTAAAAAGAATTTAAATATAGAACAGATTAAAAAATTCAGCTGGCTTTGAACTATAACTGTTTTAACTGTTATACTGGCATATACGTTATTCACAAAAAATTCTCCTAGATAAAGACCTATCTGGACATTTATTAATAAAACACTATTATCATGAAGTATATAACAGTCATTCTTTGCTAGTGGTGCACTGCAGGGGGGCCATAACAAGAATGTTATTTAAATTTAGATAGCCAACCAAATTCTCATGATATCGTTGTGTATGTTTCAATAACAAATCAAAGAAGCTGCATGAGCAAGGACGATGCTGTTATAAAAGCAAAATAAGAGAAAAAGCAGAAAATATATCAAAATTACCCTCAAAATGGCATCCTTTTTTGTGGAATTTCGACCCTACCTCTATTTAGGAACAGTTTGTTTAGGGTTTGAATGGATTATTGAAGCAGCAAATACACCTACTGCAAGAAGATATAATAAACAGAATGTGCAAATAGTTATTTAAATAAAAATTTATTTGAAGTCACTGAAAAATGATCACAAAATTAGCGTATCTTACATCACATGCGGTGTCCCACCCCAATGAAAATTTCATCTAATCCTATCTTTCCGTATTAAAACTCTTCAATCGCCCAAAGTAGTCTGTCGGTTAGTTTGTGTCACGAAGTCCATGATGATATCAGTTTTCTTAAGAATTTCACATTTCTTTCTCAACAAGGTTGATTTTTCTACACCGCGTCCCAATGTAACGTTCGTTACTCTGAAACTTCAGAGATCGATTTTTATCAGACGACTTTAAAATGCCGCGTGAAAATTATACATCGATAGCGATCTTCTTCCATACTCACTAACTGATGACGTCTCACACACGAATGGCTTCTTTTGCACACTAAAAAAACAGCTCAAACTGGCGGGTGTCCCATTCTGATAACGTGTAATGCAGTGACGCTTTTGTGATCGGATGCAGGGCACAGGTGTAATTCCCTCGATTTAACTGCCACAGGACTGTTTATAGGGATCTTCTTTGTATGAAGGTGAGAAATACTGAGTTTCGTTTCATTTTTCTTCAATTGTTTCAACATATATGTGTACCGATTGATTATTACCATTCGATAAGTAGGGCGACTTCGTCTGAACTTTCGTTTTGTGTCTGTGTCACATGGGGGACTAAAGTTCATATTGTACATGGTAACGCGGCGACACCGTATTCATGTTCTCTTGTTCTCGAAAACTCAATCATCGAAATTGAATGACGTTTTTTTTAGTTTTGTCTTAAATTAAGCTGCTACACTGTATTCAGTGCGTTTAAAATTTAACCGTCTGTAAAAACAGCAATAATGGATTACTCGCAACACTTACATTACACAATGAAGCACCAAAAATGGGTGAAGAAAATGTGTGTCAGTAATGCGTGTTTGCCACTCATAATGCACTGTACTTTGTTTGAATAAGCAATAAACTATTTGTGATCATAGGTTATCCATTGTTCGTTATCAGAGTTAACAGATTCTTTGTATGATTTTTTTCAGAATCCCAAGAGTGGATGCCTTGGTGAGCACAGAGCAGATATCACCAGGAAGAATGTTATAATACTGAACTTTGTGTTACACTGAACTTCATTTTGTTAAGTTTTGTATTTAACTGAACTTTATTGTGTTAAAATAATAAAAAATAATAATAATTCCGATAAAAAACTACAAGCTGGAACATTCTTTAGATCAACTTTGTTCAGTGTGTGTCCCATGTGACAGAGTTACAGTAAACAAAATATGTGCATTATTCCTCTGTGTTTGCCAATTCCATTTTAAAAGCATGTGAGAGTGATGTTTCCCTCATGATTGAAGTGTGTGTGGATAATAGCAAAAATATTGTTATTATTTACATGATTATAAAAAGTTTTTGTACCCGCGACACTAACATTACCGTGACCCACATATTCACCATTTTTATTAATCATGAAATGTGGATTGAATTCTTCAAAACCAGTTTTAAAGCATTGAGACAACACCCCCTAAAACTAAAAACATTCCATTAGATTTTCATTAGTTTTAGTGCCAAATATATCTCCCATGTAACGCGTCTTGGATTTGGAGGGTATAGCTGTTCAACTCTCTTGTGTGCCCTGACAAGGGCATCTGCTGTTTCCCTTTTGATGAAATGATAAACTGTGATGGTGTAGCTATCACATTGCAAAATTACAGCTTCCCAGAGAAAGTTTGAAATTTTCGGTCAAATTCAACATTTTGTAACCACTAGCAAAGAATGACAGATAAAGAATGTATTTTTTTTTTTACATAAATGAAATCCTCAAGACAATATCAAATATATTTCAAACATTAAAATAGGTTATATCTGAAATAATTAATAATGCCATTCTGTCCTTTTTCTCTGACATCATCCCCTAATTGAAATATTTGTCAGACTAGCTTATATATTTACCTGGAGGCGATAATCAAGTAGTGTTTTCCATTGATGGTCATGTGTTCCCCATTGACTCCATAATGTACAGGAATAGTCTGCACCAGCTCTGGGATGTGCTGGAAATCTGAAATGTCATCAACCACCAAGAAATGAAATAATATATACACTTCAGGAAATTGACACAAATTGTTTGTTCACTTTTAAGATATGGTTAGTAAATGTGTTATCTCAACAAACTGGTCTGCTTAGTAAAGATTGGATATGTCCACATGATAAAGCTCATCTTAAACACTCATTATATAATATACTCAAAGTCAAAGTTATAAAAACTATAAATTTTATTTACGTGGAAAAATAATCCATAAAACTTTACAAAAATGTTATGCCCCAAATTCATTTGTGATACTCTACCTTGGAGACATGTTTTTCCATGCTTATTTGTTGGGCATTCACATGTGAAGTTTTCTTTGTCCAGGCAGTCATTCTGGCAATAAGGGTCGAACTTGCACTCTGTGTAGTAAGGACAATCAGCGTGTCTTAAGAACTAAAAAGATGAAGATGATAATACTTGTACTATTAACAGTGAAGAAACAGCATCATCTCAAGTCCTGAACATTATGATTTGTACCATAACAACAATGCTTACATCAATTTATGTTGCTTGACTGAAAAATAACAAAAATATTAAATGCTCACTTAATCGACAGGGGTTTTGGGGGCTGCCATCAGAATAAAATTAAAAATCCCTGAATTCCATGAATCGGAGGAAAAGCTAGTGTCTAAATACTAGAGCTGCAGATATTATAGATACTCGTACCCATGGATACATCTTCATAGTTTTTCAGTGATCAAAACTTTTAAACTCTCTAAATATTACATTATATTATATTAAATGCATTATTACAAAAGAGGTGAAATTCTTCACAACAAAATACACAACTTACAGTTCTATAGTCCTGGGTTGTATTGACAACATAATAATTGTCCAGTGTTATTGGCCCATTGTCAGTAAACAGAGAGCAGACCATTTTTTCCTTGTCATAATGGAAAACGCGGCACCCCTGTTCAGTGATACAAGATCCCGAGCACTGCTGTTCATGACGGATGTGGTGGATGTCTCGGAGGTGCTGCAAAGGACGGGAAATATCAGAGGATGCCGTGAAGTGGGAGTAAAGAATGCTACTCTTACAGGAGCCATCAGGATTCCATTCTACCCCCAATGAAGCCTGAAGAAAAAGGACTACCAGCAAGATGCTGGAAATTCCCATCTTGTCTCCTCTTCTTATGCAACCTTAGTAGAGTTGTATAAGTACGAAGTTTCTACCAATTTGAAAAAACTGCTACAGGAAATTTGGGCAAAAACCTTACTCGAGTATTGAAATGCCTCAACCTAAATGAGACTCTGACAGGGTTCAAGAGTGGATTCATTGATCCATCTTAACATGCATGAATCTATTGTTTAGGACTTTCAATGACCTTACTTCAACAGACGGGAAATACTGCTAACAAGTAATCAATAGGGTAAACAAAGGAAGTTTTGCATTAAACAAACAAGAGTTGTAATGGGATTCAACTTACTTACTGAATAGCAAATGTAAGCTATGAATAAATATTTTTCATGAAACGTTTTGGATATTAATCAACTTTGAATGACAGGCGTTTCACTTAATTTTTTTCCAGAGTACTAAATCAATATCATGAACTGAAACTTAGTAAAAAATCAATGTTTGGGCTGAGATATTTTAACATATAACAAGTCAATCACAAATTCCTCATACAAGAAGCAAGCTCCACCTTTTCTGATTGTGTAATTGTTACACAGGTTTACCTAGAGATGTGTAGCATGGATATGACCACTTCAAAAATGGCATATCATTTCAAATACCCATGCTAGAATATCTGCAAGTTTCTTATTAAACAACTGTTTGGTAGAAAGCGACACCTAAAGCCCACAATTCTGCAATCATAAACAGTGGAAATTCTCAGTTTATATCTTAGCTGCTGATAAAAGGACATGTACCAGATGCTGGACATGATCGATACTAGTGAAAACATCAGCAATTTTCCATTTTTTAAATTTGTATAATTTAGTATTTATGAAAAAAGATAGCATAATGATTAAACCTAAAGTTTTGCAGATCAGAGATTTATCAGGCCCATTCTAGAGTTCTTTGAGAAAAAAAGCCACTATGGGTAATACAGATGTGCTAATTATATAAATATTACAGAAGTTTTGCCACTGTTATCTGACAGGACAAATGCCTTGTTTTGGATTCAAAATTATGCTGTATTATTACTGTGCATCCCTATTCAATCCTCTATCCAAAGACCAATTCGTATAAAATGCATTTAGAGCAGAAAAATCTATCATTTACTTTAACACTCATCAAAATGCTTAAACATCCAAGTTGTATTCCCAAGTTTTATTTCATCCAACAGGTTTGGATGTTAACATACAAAGTTATAAAAATACTGTTAGTTGTTAAGAGTAAAAATTCAATACGCTTGAACATTGTAATATCTTTCTTAATCAAATTACACTGGTAAGCACTGGTAAGATAAGCATCAAAACATAAAATAGCTTGATTAAAATATCAACTGAAGTTGCTTTCATCAGGATTTAAAATTGGCTTCCATGTGTACATTTGAAGCACAGTACAACATCATTTTTACTGAAATATTGATCATATCTGAAGATTATAATGCCCTTTTTTGAGTGTCATCATGCACCCGGTAATTCTAAGGCCCTATTCTGAATAGGGGACTAACTAGTCTGAGGGGTGACCCACTACAGAACTTGCCGTCTAATCCGCTTATAGACACTGAATAGATATCCCGTGGGGAAGTATTCAAGTAGGTCGGCCATATTTGACCCTCTGCCTAGTTATCCCCTATTCTGAATGGGGTCGTAATAAAATGATAATGTTAACAAACTTGATGAATTTCCACACATGGGATTTTTTTCACATGACCAGTACAGTGGCTGTCCATGGGAAAGGCATAGTTATGGTGGATTCAGTCAGTTTTAAGCAAATGGATCAAAATACACGAAAACAATATTCTTAAAGTATGTGGAAAAGTCAAAAGCATTGTTAAGCAAATCAGGATCTTATTCCCTCATAAATTTAGGAACTATCACCTTTGTGGCATGCCGAGTGGTTTGACATACAGAGGGGTAACACATAATGACGTTAAACACAAACACAGTATCTGGTGCAGCCTCCTCCCCTGATCTCCTTTATCCTACCACAATGTCTTAGTATGGTAAGCACACTCCTGGAACTAGAGTCCATCTTTAAACACAAACACAGTATCTGGTGCAGCCTCCTCCCCTGATCTCCTTTATCCTACCACAATGTCTTAGTATGGTAAGCACACTCCTGGCACTAGAGTCCATCTTTAAACTGCTCAGTGACTTGATGTCCCCATCAACTATGAAATGCACACCTATTTGTAGGAAAAATTAAAAAGAAGAAGTGGTAAGTCTCCTGTTTTTGTTTTTGGGTTTATAAAACATAGCAATGCAGTCTTAAAGAACAAATGAATATAAATTACATATAAATTAACATGGAATATTACAGCACTTATCTCATCAAAAAAAAAAGCAGTTTTGATTTCTGACTGACCCAGAGTTAACATGTCTGAACATGCCCATTCTAATAATTATATAATGTATCACATATTTACTATATTGCATTTTTGACTAGAAAAATCTACTACATCTTCAAGATGCAATTCTCACAAACCTTTAGTCTCCTTTGTTTCTTGACTTTTAAACTGGTCAAACTGTTTCTTTATGGCATCACTGCTTTTCATAATGACAGATCTGGGCTTTCCAACAATACTGTACTTGGCAGAAACAGCCTTGTTAAGCTCATCAATAGCCAAATTAACACTGTCATAATTTATCCTTCCTTTTATGTACCTTCAAAAAATTATCAAAATAGGTTATCATTTTCCACATTCTTAAATGACATAGTCTTCATGATAAAAATCTTAAGATAGGAAAAGTGAAAAGCATTTTAAATGACAAAAATTCAACCCCATTTTCAAGGAATAACTGGCCAGTCTTTCTAAGTTAACAATGGCATATGTCAAGTTACACTAAGCACCTATTAACACATACAGTGCTACTGTCTACCAGGCTATGCTACTAAACAGACTCATACTGAGAGAAAAAAGTGAACTACTCACTTAGGCACCTCCTCATATTCATCCTTTGTCAAATATTCAATAGCAGGAACAGGGGGTCTGGTTCTTTTTCTAGCTCCCTGCACCACCATACCATTTTCTGAGCTCACTGCATCTTTCTTACTTCCTAATGGGCTGCCAGTTGTTCTAAAAAACCAGGAAATTCTTAAACAAAAATCACTAAGCCTAAATAAAATCAATAACACGTCGTTCGAGCAAATTCACCTAAAAATGTGCAAATGGGTATTAGGAGTGAGAAAAACAGCCAGTAATAATGCCTGCAGAGCAGAATTGGGTAGATACCCAATCCTTACAGACATCATTAAATCCATGCAAAAATACTACATCAGACTTAAAAATCTCCCGAATACAAGAATACTGAAACAAACATTTAGCGAAGAAAAACTCCTGAAAATAGATAATTGGACTAAAACAGTGGCGGCATTTAGACAGAGTTGGGGAATTGAACATTGGGATGAAAAACCAGACCTAGAAAAAGAAATTAATCAAAAAAACGAAGGCCTTTTTTGGGAAGAATTGAACAACTGAACAACAAGAATTGATAAACTGCATACTTATAGAAAAATAAAAAACTCATACGATATCAAAAATTACTTAAAAATGAATGCCACAAGCTCAGACAAAACATACATTGCCAAAATGAGAATTAGTGACCATGAGCTGGCAATAGAGAAAGGCAGGCACAAGAAAATCGCCCTGGAACAAAGAACCTGCACAAGCTGTAAAAAAGAAATAGAGGATGAGAAGCATTTCTTCCTCACATGTAGTAAATACCAAATAGAGCGACAAAATATGCTGAGTTCCCTCCCAAATACTGTGAGACATAATTATGAATTAGCAGGCAATGATCAGAAACTATTCATCCTTCTCAACCCTCAAGACCAGAAATCACTAAAAGCATTATCACAGTATATACAGTTAGCACCACGATGAAGTAGCACTCTCTCTTTTTACGTAAGCACAATATGGTATATTTTGTAGTAGCCTAGACAGCAAACAATGTTAAATTGTAACATTCAAAGCTGAATAAATTATTATTATTATTATTAAAAAACAAAATGGCCTTACCATATGATGCAAATCTAAAATAACCTATACATTGTGCATGAATGAGGTTCAAGTTTCAGGCACCATAAGAAACTAGGGCTGAACCCCAAGTGTAGAAACCAGATCAGAGATCTATTTCAGCCCAGAAGAGGAGTATTTTTTGAAAAAGCAATATGAATAATTAAAAAAAGGGGGGTTTCTGGGAAATAAAATCACTTTTCCTGTAGGTTCAACTCATATTGCTGAGCCTTTTTTTTTCTTATTCCAGCATCACCTTTACAGAAAAATAATGTTTATTTTTTCTTCTCAGATTTAAAGAATTTTTAGATGTTTTCTTTTTCAATACCCAACAACTATGTGGCCAATATGCCATGGGAAACTGAGGAGTCCACTACTTACCCATTTTCAGATGCCTCATTTTTAGTGCAAACTTTTTTCTGTGGAAGCCTTTGTGGAAGATTATCATTTGCATAATGGAGATTCTTTTGGAGGTCTAGAACCTGTTCCTTTAGCACCTAGAAAACAAATCCATGTAAATGATTTTTTCCTGAAAAATAGCAATAAATATAATCACAGTTAACAGAGTAGAGGAAAAAAGTTAGAAGAGACAAAGATCATTTATAAAATTCAAAGGGGGAGGGGGGGTTAAAATAATGATCTCCCGCTGACGATCTTCCACGAACGAAGTTCCCTTGAACTAATATAAAAAGCGCATTTTATTCTTGCTTACATCGCGAACGATCTCCCGCTGAAGATATGAAGATTGGTTTTCATCTCTCTCGGATCGCAAACGATCTCCCGCTGATGATCTTACGCGAACGGAGTCGGCTACAAATATGAAAATTATCTTCTCGTCTCGTTTGGATCGTGAACGATCCATTGATGATATTACACGAACGATTCTCGCATTGCGAACGATCTCCATGTACGAGCCAGGTAATCATTAAATGGTCCTAAATTGCTCAATGGACATGAATAGAAGTGACGGGTAAATTTCCCTTCGAGATAATATCTTGATTTTTCATTGTGTCTTCTTCATTTAGGACAGCCGCCTATAACAATAACGGCGTTACAACTGACAGAGCCGCGGCCTGTGACTTCTATTTACCGGCTTGATAACGCACCTTGAGCCAGGTAATAGTAATGACACTAAAGATAAAAGGCCGACGTTCCCGCATTTGAGAACGGAAATTCGCACGTAAACAATCTATATTGTGGGTAGCCGCTCGCATGGGCGCACTATTGTTCCTATCTCCCATTGAGAGTGTTATCGGCAACGATATCCTGATCGTATTATTGTCCTGAATCAACTGACGCATTACCTTCATGGTTGAGCTGGACAACGCGGCCATATTAGGTGACGAACTTTTAAAAAATTATCGAGTACCTGATTTTCAAGGTCGACGAAGTTTTCAAAGTGAAAAAAATTACGTCGGCGGAAAATCGTCTGCCGACGAAATTTTCAAGAACGACGAAATTTTCAAGACTTTACCGTAAGTAAAATTAATACAAAACTTATACTGCTCAGTAGATAATGTTGGGTGATGCTTCTGCAGGGAGGGGCAGGTGCACAGGATAATCATTTCTATTCACAAGGGAACAAAAAATAACAGAAAAAAAAGCTGGTGGTTTATATTCATGAAACTGCTCTTACCTCCAGGGACTTCAAATTTTCTTTTTCTCTTGCCACCTCTGCTCTCATCAAGGCCATCAAAACTTCCAACTCACAGATATCTTTATCTATACCTGTCAACAGCTGCTGGCAGTTTACATCTCCACTGCAGGCTTGGAGCTTAAAACAATTCTTCAAGTTTTGGATTTTATCACCAAATTGTGAAGCAAGTTCCATAACAGTGCAAGAATTCATGTTCTAAAAAAATGATATAAAATTAAATAAAAGGCCATTTTTGAACACAGAAAGTAAAAAGTGGCATAAAAATAATGTGACCTGCTTAAAATAATGAATCATTCTTGTTTTAGTGTCACAGTAAAAAATCATATACAGTACCTACTCACTACCCAGTAGATAGTAGATACCATAGTTAAATGTTTAAAAATAAATCTTTGTTATTCTGCTGAGAGACAATATGTGAGAAAGTTTCCAATCGCACTGATAGATATACCTACTACAATACACACCCTTAATTATTTTTGAATAATTGCCCTCTTGTCAGCATTTATTCTCTTAGTTTCAAGTTTCAAATCACCGCCTTCGTAGATGACGAGATTTGACGAGATTTTGCGGTACGTCTAAAAATGAGAACAAATGTACGTGCGGTTAGCCGAATTTATTGATGTACAATTTACAAATTGAATGAGAATAATTTTGAACTTACCTTAATAATGCCTTCCATACTGTGATGCAACATTTAATATTAAAACAAAAAGGAAAGCGTTAATAAAAATGACAACAAAAACGCTATATAAAATCCAATCTTAATTTTCTACTTCATTGATATGTTGTTGCGCACCTTGGATACGTGACGTCAGAGAATGGTGGAACAACATTGATGTCTGCAAGGTTTTAGCACTGTGGTTGATTTAAGTATTTTTAGGTAAAAAGCGGAACGTTTTCATCTTGCCAAGATGATGGCAACACAGAGGCAGCGGCGGTGTAGGGAGCACACTGGCCCTTCACCACATTCAGTCGCTATCGTAAGTATTTTTGCTTAATTTGTTCCATTGAGAGTGTTTTACTTTTTAATTAACAAGTTACACTACTTAGAATTAAGTTATAGTACCACTGGCAATGAATATCATCCTTGGCTTATCATAGAAATGAGTTAGACTTATTTGGCACAGAACTTAGTAGGTACAGAAAGGAACAGAAGCACATTTAAACTTTTTACCTGAATAATTTTCATTTGTTTTAACTTCAACTTCATATTATAACTGCGACAATAAATTTTATAAGATGTGAAACAATAATTTGCTTGACATTTATGCAACAACATTATTAACATTGGAAAAAATGTCAGTTATGTGAGTAAATGTTGATACAACCACTCTCCTTAGTCGTCTCCCCCCCCCCCCCTTGAAAATACTAGTATATATGAAACATGTCTTTGATCCTTACTCAAACCCCAGATCCCTACCAAGTGTCAGAGTATCACTTTATAATACTCATTGAGTCATCAAATAAGCCCTTAATACTTTAGGAATTGTAGGGCTGAAAGAACTCTCTTTTTGGCAAAAGTTATGCCCATTGTTGAATCTAAAGGTTGAGAGTACTGGTAGGCCATATGTAGGTCAATGAAGTAATGCTTGGCAAATTTTGCTTGGTTTATTTAGTTTTTAAAGACAAGATAGCTTTTCCCTATATTTGTTTTAATAAATGATTCAGTGAATATTATTGATAAAAGTTTCAGTTTGCTGTTACAAAAATTTTCTGACTTTTTTGCCCAAATGTACATCCGACATCTCTTTTGAAAGGATCTTCATTTATTTAGATTGGTAAATTTGAAACTACTTAATGTACAAGTGAAATTTGAAGCTTGGTTTAGTTAAGGTATTTATCCATTATCAACAGTGTTCTTTAAATTGAATATATCTTAGAAAGAATTCAAATTCCCCATGAAAGGCTCAGCAAACTAAAAGCCATCTGACAATTGACAAATGATACAATCTATTTTCACTTCTTCAGGTTGCTCGCCCTACCAATAAAAGACCTCCTGAGCATCTCATCTTAGAAAGAAGAAAGAAAGAAGAAATGAGAGAAGAAGCTTTACATCAGACAAAGTATAATGAATTTTGTGATTTGAAAAATGATTGGGAGAGATGGACAGACAGACGAATACAGATCAATACAGTGAAGAGGAAAGTGGCAGGTTTGATGCAGGCAGAACAGTTTGGCATTGAAGACAGAAGAGAAAAGTAAGTTACATGTTGTCAAGATAATTGTTCATTTTTTAAATGAGAAGAAACATATATGAGTATATATATGAGTCATTCTAAAATTACACGCTAGTGTTTGCAAAACACCACAAATCCTTGCTGCCTATATGCAAGCTCATTTCACATTGATAAGTTAATATTATTTAAGCAAAACATTTTACAATATTATTTAAGCAAAACATTTTACAAATAGAAATTTTCTTATAGTTCTACCATGCTGTGGCTTGTCATATCTTAACAAATGTTTAAGAAATATTCTTTAATATTGTTCAGACTAAGAGATCTTCTAATGGAGGAGGAACAACAGTATCTGAAGGAAATGGAAGAAAAAGAGGAAACTGTGTTAGAAAGACAGGCTAAAATGAGGGGCAGAGCCAAGGACCTCAGAGAGAAAAGGGAACAAGAGAGGATGCAAATTGTCAAGGAAAAACTAGACCAGAAGTTTAGGTATGCACCAATGTTGCTAAATAACCTAAAAGATTTAATATCTATCTTTGTTAGATATATTCATTTGAGAAGAAGTAGTCAAAATATTCACCCATATTATGAAAAAAAAAACTAACTGTTTACCCACTCACCTTTTATCAAAATTCAATACTTCCTTTTACATTTTTTTCATTCAGTGCCTGGTGAATACATGTATCTGATGTTGTTGTTTCAGAAATGAATGTGAGGAATTGCGTTCCACATTGAGTAAGCGACACCAGGACGAGGTGTGCACTGAAAGACTAGAGCAGCTTCGAATCAAAGAAAGAATAGAAGAAGAAAAGAAGCAAGAAGAGGCCATGTATGCTGACTTGTGGCATAAGGATATGCTGTCTAAGATGGAGAGAGAAGAGCGCGAGGCTCAAGCACAGCATGCTCGTAATCGTGAGGTGCTGGGAGTTATTCAGTTGCAGAGAGCTGCGCTGGAAGCTCAGAAGGAAGAAGCTATAAGACTAAGGGAAGAAGAAGCAAGGTTATTGGTGAGTGCATTTACTTAATTATTTCTTTTTTATTGACGAAGAAAATCAAGCAGAAGGAAAATATATTTTATGTGTTTTAAAGTGTCATTTTTATAAAGATTCCATGATGTCCAAAATTTTGTATGTACAAGCAGGTAAGCTCAATTCATCATGTCTGCAGGCATAAGTAAACTAGTGGAAAAGTTTGACTTATTTTTTGTCACGTTTCAGGCACAACAAAACCAGCTGCGTAAACTTGAAGAACAACAGGCCCTTGAAGAAAAACGTCGTCAGCAGCAGGAAACTAGAGAAATCTATGACAGGTCTGTGAGGATGAAGATGAAGAGGAAGGCCAAGGAAATCCAAGAGGAGCTGGCATTTGACATGAAGATTCTGGAACAGTTGTTAGAGGAATCTCGCAATGAAGCAATGGAGCAGGAACAGAGAAAGGTATGTTTCACTTTTAAAGTAAAAAAGCTAGACTAGTGTATAAAATGTTAACTTTCAGCTATCAAAATGAAATAAAATGTGTATCCTTTTTGGTAAGCCAAGACTGACAACTGAATGAAAGTGTTGAAACAGTTTGTTTATTTAGTGCTATTTTCCCATTACAGAAAGAGCTGAGGGAGGAGGATAGGCGATACCGTGAATACCTGAAACAGATGTTGGAGGAAGAGAAGATCAGGGAGAGTGAAATGGAACGGTTAATCGATGAGGATGTTGAAAGAATGTGGCAGAAGCGACTGGCTCAGTGGCGTCTTGAGAAGGAGGCTAGAAAGAAGTTGCTAGAGGAAGTTCTTGCTGTTAGGAGGCAGCAGATAAATGAAAAACGTGAGTAAAAAACACATGCATACTCTATCAAATGCATTTCTGTTTTCCTTTATAAGAATAAGATAAAGTAATATTATTTATATCAATTTTTTTAATATGACCTACCAATTTTTGTTTTCATTAAGTACAATACATTTGCATTCTGATTAATTTGGAAAATTAAAATTTTCTTATTTCAGTGTCCATAAATGAAAAGAAGCAGCGAGAAGCTCTTGTTGAGCGGGAAGAGATTCTGAGAGCGATTGAGGAGAACAAACAAATTGAACTGGAACAGCAAGAAAGACAGCGTCAGAAGAATCTACAGTATCAGTCAGATCTTGAAGGACAGATGAACTATACACAACGCCAGAAACATATAGAAAGTTTAGAAGCTCAAAGGGAATATGAAAAGCAATTAGAGGCAGAAATGGCATATAGACATAAGTTAAAGGCAGAGTTGGACAGACCATATGTTGATAAGGTTCATCCCATGAGGAAAAAGACAATTATCACACAAAATCTTGGTTAAAACATGGAATTTCTAATCTGTACAAGTTAATCAACTTGAGATCTTCCTTAGATAACATTTATGGAATTTTTGGAATGAAAAAAATATGACTCTATGGGTAAGATTGTTTCATTAAAATTGAATAAGTATTAGTTGTATGACAGCAATAGGCACCCTATGTAATGATATTGCTGAAGATGTTGTATAATGACCAGTCTGCAATTGGCTTTTATCAGGTAAAAAGTATTTTGTGAGGTGAATATATTTTTACTTATAAAATTAATGAAACCAAAATGTATATTGACTACACTATGTTAAGTATAATTTTGTACATGTGTTGCAGTATTTATCTTTCTTGGGCTCAATTCTATTTTTGTTGGGTCCTCAAATTTTCCAATAATGTAAATATAATCTTATAATTTGAATATTTGTCACTAATAATTTGAATATTTGTATAATCACATATGGCATAAATATGCAATAATAAAATGAGGTTTTGAGAACTGTATTATAATCTTTTCTTTGGGCAGCAAAATACATGTGCAAGCTCATACTAATTGTGCTTGAAAACTATGCACGTCCTTTTTATTTTATCTTCTGTTGGGGGCGTCTCGATAGTCCGAAGGTTCATTGGTCCGAAGGTTCATTGGTCCGAAAAGTGGTAGCATTTTCATCGATTTTTTAATCAAGGGTTCATTGGTCCGAAGGTTCTATAGTGAACATTCGGACCAATGAACCTTCGGACTATTGAACCTTCGGACTATCGCTACGGCCCCCTTCTGTTAACTCAAAAACGTAACAATCTTAGCAATGAAGAATTTTTGCAATGAATGGGAAAGGTGAAGTTAAAATAAGTGCAGTACAAGTACCGGTATATTAAGTTCTTAATTGATTCAGATGGTATATACATGGTATATTAATGGAAGATATGATGAAAAATAGCTTTGAAGAAGCATGTTTAAAAATGGCCCAGTTTTGATGGGTAAATTGAGGAATACCTTCACGTTTGAGCTGTAAGCATTTGCAGGATATTCCCTTCGCAAAATATCAGACCATAAATGATATATAATCTGCAATGCCC